ATAGCTACCATCAAATCTAAACGTACAATTCAATTTGTCGACTGGTGTCCAACCGGTTTCAAGGTTGGCATCAATTACCAACCACCCACTGTCGTTCCCGGTGGCGATTTAGCCAAAGTGCAACGTGCCGTGTGTATGCTCAGCAATACAACAGCAATTGCTGAAGCCTGGGTTCGACTGGACCACAAATTTGACCTGATGTACGCGAAACGAGCGTTTGTACATTGGTACGTCGGTGAAGGGATGGAAGAGGGTGAATTCTCGGAGGCCAGAGAAAATTTGGCCGCGTTGGAAAAGGACTACGAGGAGGTCGGAACAGACAGTAATGAAGGCGAGTCCGAAATGGATCAGGAAGAATTCTAATCCTTCGTCACGAGGCTCAAACGATAAATCCCTACTAAACGATGCCTCGGAAGCACATGCCACTGTTAAAAGGAAGACGTATCCCCAACTAACTTGTGTGCCCAGTTCTATGAATTCCATAGAACCGTGGAAGAGGCACCCTTGGGATGCTATTACCTGTGTCGTGTAATAGCCATTCTTCGAACCGAAGTGTAACATATGTTCCTTTGTCTAATACGACTGCACGTATTAGAATCCACCGGATCCGGCGAAAAATCATTACGTCGACTCGTAATGATCAGACTTGATCCTAGCGTGAGTTCTATTACAACTGTGAAAGACTCAGTGTGTAATAGACCATAAATGACACCTGAAATATATCAGGTTTTGCACAAATGTGTTGTATTGCTTGTCGTTACCCGGTGGCTGGTTAGAATCACCGGGAGTGATAAAGCGGTTAGCGGGATGAGTTCGAATCTTGGCAACAGTTAAACTTAATAGCCCGTTTAGGCAAATAGGAAGTAGCATGCCACACTGCGCGTACGATGACAGAACAGTGGGTTACTGATGGCAATCATTTTACATGTTAGCTAGAGGTGGAAAACATCTATTGTGCCGCAATACTATAGGAAAATGACAAAAACATGAAACAGGAGCGCGTCATCTGAGCCACCAGTAACGGATGTACATCATTCCGGCAAATCAGCAGCCGGCTATTGTGCCGCCAAAGTTATCTTATGTTTAGAAAATAAGTTCGTGATCGAAGGGGGGGGGAAAGCAGCTTAAAATACAGACGTCACGGAGGTCGGCTCCAAGCCATGCCAAAAGTGTATCCTGCCAAACGTGTTCATCGTATTTCGGTCTCCAACCAATGAGCTTAGGGGCGCCAATCAAGGCAAACTTCGAGGTAAGGGCTTTCATTCCTCTTGACCAAGTCATCGCTTGGCCACGCCTCCACTTCTTCTAACCAGACCCCAGGCGCGCAAGCAATGCACGTCGCGGGAGTCGGTGGGCTGGCACTCACGGTAACACATCCGTACTTTGCACCGAGGCCTTGTTGCCATAGGCAATAAGGTCAAGAATAAAGTCGGTTAGCGGTCTGCGTCTGATTCTTTCCTGGAGGTGGTAGAGAGATTATTTCTTGTTCGGTTTCTCTATGTATTGAACCCATTTCGTGGAACTTACGATCTAATTCAATTGCAGTTCTGATTCCAAATTTACCAACCATAAATACTTGTATTGTCTCTCTTTAATTTCGGAAATCCCCCCTGTCGCTTTGTGCTTCACAACTGTTCGCTATCTGGATGTCGGATTTTTGATAATACCGAAGCAGTCACCATATGGTGCCTGTTCCAAGATTATCGGAAAGCGAGCAACGGCAATGACATGTTTTACGTGTCATGTTAACTTCCACATTTCATGCATTGGACAAGGTATTGCGTAGTTTCGGCGTTCTCGCGGAATGCAAAATGTAATCTTTTAAGGTATTCATCCCATTAGTCTACAAGCTACATAGCATAGTCTAGTCCGGAAGATCAACGCCGCTCTGATAAATAGGCGCGCACTGACGATGTCATCTCGGGTGGTGACGAAACGTTTGCAGTCGAACTGCCGAGCTCAGCGAACAGTCAGACCACCAAATGATTACGTTCAAATGTTGTGTAAAAATTGTCGAAACGAAATACAGCCGAAGAAAGCAGAACAGGGTCATAAACAGCCTTGCAGAATGAATCATCCCGTTGCGAGCAGCGCCGTGTGCATGACTAAACAAGCTAGCCTGAAGCGCCTTCAGATTCCAAATAAACTTTCCTATTGGTCCCGTGCAAACTCACTGGTGCGGAGTTCCGCCGTTGCGGTCAGCCCAACAATACCTGACACGAATCCTCTACCTGTGTTGTATCCTATGAGCATAAATATCCCGATGTGTGTACGCCTGTGTACTGAAGGTACGTGAAAGGTACAGTAAAAGAAAAAGCAGAATGATGAAAAGAGTTTGGCTGCTACGAATCAACGGTAGGTCAGATCACGAGAAGCTCGGGGATATTCTCGCCTTACAGGGTCAACCTTAGCCGACCAGAAGAGTTTTAACCTCTTGATCCTCCACGCGCCCCAGTGATCCAACTCCCCAGGTGTGCTACGATTATGGAATCGAGTTTTTACAGAAGTCAATTGATAGACTCCTCGATGTGGGTGAGGACAGGTTGAAAGTGAAGCATATTACCCATGCTGGAAAGGTGATTAGCAAAATTGACCTGAGAGAATGACTTATGTGGTCGAAGTCAGTCCGATGCTGATCTTGTCCCGCTTAAGTAGGTTGAAATATCTAGAGCCCCATATTCTTCCAAACCTGGATTCAGTGGATCGAGAACGGCTCAAGTCTGCCAGCATTGAGCTGAAGAGACGGAATGGTGATAAGAAAAGAAATCTCCGTATCGTAAATTTTCAGGTTGTTTCCAAGACTCCAGGAAGCAGGACAAACCGGTTGCTCACATTTCAAGCACGTTCGGTGGTTCCTGCTGCGGGCTGCATGCATCCTTTACCAACGTTTGCACTTGCGTACAAGCGCGATGAACTCTGTCGTTTCAGTGCATGAGTCCCGACGTAGTGGGACTCGCAGAAGCGTGGCTGGATTTCGAGGTGCTTGCCTAGGAGATCGAACTCAGTGGCTACATATGTTACCGCTTAGACTATAGACTGCACGCGATGGCGTCTTGCACTGCATTCGGTATTCACCGTATGGGATAGGTGTGAGCGTCTATAGAAGCGACGATGGCCTGTGTGGGCAGCTGTGGGGCTAGATCCACCTCAGACGCGGGACGTGTATGTGGGTGCATTTCAGCTCAGTCCTCTCAGCCATTGTTTGAATTAGGCTGCCACAAGTCCGAAGCCACATGAGTCGTCTCTATTTTCCGCTTATGGGTGATTTCAATTGTCCTGAATGGTCTGAAGTACAACTCATACCCGGACATTGTGAGGTGGGAGCAAAGTTCGTGGATTTAGTAATTGAAAACGTAGCAGCGCAACACATACGCCAACCGACACGAATAGCGCGGGGCACAACTGTATCCTGTCTAGACTTGATGTTAACAAGCTGTGAATAACATGTACATGACGTTCATGTCCTAGAGCCTTTAGCAGCAACTGACCACTCGATGCTCATAGCCAATATGGATCTACCTTTCTTTGCACCATTCTTGCATGTTTGCGGCAGATTACAGCTGAGCCATTTGCCATTCAGGTGCGATGCACTCCATAAACCTATCATCTGCAAAGTAAGCATTTAGGAAATGCTTGAATTCCGACACATCTATTTGGTTCCGATTATGGTCTCAAGCAAACTGTTCCAACACTTCACCACTCGCCGCTAGAGGCATGGAGTGTGAACTACATGCTTCAGATCCGGCACTAGGGGCTTGTAACGGTGGCTGTGCGTGGTGCCTGGTGTGCGCATGTACATCAGCGACCTCAACATGGGATGTGACCCAGATAAAATAGCCGGTGCGTCATAATGAGGTCAACTCTAAACCGACGATATGATAGGGTGTACATCGAGTTTTCTGCCTCGGTCTTGGTACGACATACCCCGTACATTGGTGATGAGTCGCGCAGCTACATGCTGAACCCGTTCCAGTCTCTGCGCCCGGCACGAGTGACCGGACATTAAGTGAGCGAGCAGTACTCTGGAGTTGGACCTATGGTGGATGAGGCGAGTGGCAATCTCATTCCAAGCGCAAAAGCTGCGTTTAAATGACCAAATCATGCGCAGTCCGTTTTCGCATAGCCTGTTTGTGCTGTCCATGGATGATAGGACGACGTCAGTGGGACAAGTTTTTTTTCGCGATTTTCAATGTTCCGTGCCGGAAGTAACTTCACACTCTAAAGTTGACCCGGCATCAAGCACGGTCCAAAAAAGTTATCCCACTAGAAATATACAGCAAATAAGAATAATAAACAAATCGCCAGCTGTACACCGTAACGGCGCTTCGCTGCCGCGCAACCACTACCAGTCGCGCGTGGGCTGATATACCGCGAGGACGCTAGCCCCCACCCGGATTCGAACCGGTGATCTTATGGTTGCAAAGCAGACGTGTATATCACTCGGCCACCGGTCGACATACAGCAAACACACCATTGGTAACGATCGTGAGCCAAGGACAGTGAGATCTCGAACCCAGCATCGAGTCCCAGTTAGCAAGTAGTAGAGAAAACCGAACAGTTGTTGGAAAAGCCCAAGACGCCGAGCTGAAGAGCAGAGAGCATCTTGTAACCTCCAGTGCTCCATGTCCACGCCTGACTTAGTCTACCTATGATTGAAACAAAGCTCGCGCTCAAAAACTGCACAGGTGAGCTTTTGATATACATAATTGTAATAGGGTTCTCGTGGTGGCTAATATGAGTGTTCGATTGCCGCGTTGGTTATCGCTGGTGTCATCATTAACGGAGTAGGCATGAGCTCTCTGGGCACAAGAAACACGAGGATACAAGATTGTAGGTGCTTTACAGTAACTCTGAAGTCAAACATCCCCGTGGGCAACCGAAAACGTAGTAAATAGCCGAGTCTTCCAAATGGGACTCGTCAGTAACGCGGATGTCTTTTCAAAGCCAGCGTCTTGTACTACGTGGTAACGAGCAATGAGTACCCAAACGGTGCGGGCACGGACATTGTTTATTTTACAATGCGCAGGAAATTCACTCGTGCTGCTAATGGGTCCTGTAGACTATCAGAAGTGGACAAGAATATACACAAGAAAACAGTGTAATTAGTCAGCACAAACATAGGTCGCTTCAAGTCGGTTGCATGTGATGGCTGACAGCTCTTCATCCGAAGCCAGGAGGCGCTTCTTACTGGGCATATGGCTTTCATCCCTGTGGAGACCAGCGGCCCAATCTGCGTCCACCTGGACAGTTTGAAAAGGAAAGAACATGATGAATGGGTTATGATAATATTAATAATACAAAGAGGATAATGATAGCGAGAACATGCATAAGAGGGGTTCGGACAAGTGTGCCACTCGAACACAGACGTGAGACCTTTTCCATTTACCTGAGCTAGAGAGGCGCGACACAAGAGGAACACAATCGCCGACCTAATGATCAGACTAAGTGCAATAAATCGGAATGTCTGTAGCTCAATCCGGCTGGTGAGGTGCTGATTGGCTTTTCGAACCAGACACTTGTGTTGCAAATATGTCACCACCAATCGAAGTGGCATTTATAGTGGTTGTTAACATCAATAAAATCCAGAGACGGGTGCAATCGGATACATTTTTGTTTGTATGTACGTTTCTGGTATTCGTATCCAAGCTTCATCCAGGTTGGCCACCTTGGCAATTTCCATAGGGTTAAGTGAGAATATTTTCGAAGTAATAGGGGTCTATGCAACTCCGTCGGCGAAATAGCTGTTTTTCACAAGACAACCCTACGCAGTCTGTCCAGTGCGTTGTTCGGTGGCTGGATTCTAATAGTTCAACTAACGACTTCTAATGAATCTAATAGCGATCTCACTACTTGGTATACGGGATCAAAGTCGATGCGCGTTGGTGTGAGTCCTCTGTAAAAAACCAAGCGTCCAGGAATTCTCTTCTTTCTTATATTTCTTCACGGCAGCTGTACACTGGCGCCGCGCGTGGAGCGATGACAATACGATGAATCAACAAGACACAGTCAAAAACAAAAACGGACATTTGACTGTACTGTAGCAAACATATTTGTGGATGAACTGGTATTGCTGGGACGCGTGATTAGATGGAAGATAGATCTAGTGGGTGTGCAGAGAAGGGCGTCGAATTCGCCCGGACACAAACGATGAACAGCCCTAGTCAAAAAGAGCAAGCTAATGAACTGCGGTGAAATGCAAAACCGTATGTGATAGCAAGGAGATAAAGCGTTTGGGTACTCGAGGCGCAATCCACGAGCAGAAACAAGTGAATATCAGGCGAAATTGAAGCTAGTTTAGTGGCATTTACGTCACCTTACCGGATAAACAAGTCAAATAATCGAACAATAGTTTAACAGGAGCAAAAAAGCTCAAACTTAACAGATCCCGTAGAGTGGTCATAAAAGATATATAAGGTGCCAACGAGAAAGAAGTCCACACCGGTTTACGCAGTAAAAACTGTAAACCGACGAAGAATGACGACAGAGGGGACGAGTGTATAAGCAGTGCCACCTTCGGGTGAACACGGGTAAGAGGTGAAAAAGTGGAATATATTCTGTGAGCTGGCCAGTAGTGAAATCTCTAGCACACACACGTGTTTGGCAATGAGTCTTGGGAGGTGAAGTAACGAAATGAGTGCACGGTCAACTCGGCCAACTCTATAAGCGTTGGAGCACAGATAACAGATTCCGTACGGGTATTTTACGTTTGGAAAACATGTGAGGAAAAGAAAATCACACGGCATTCTAAATGACTGTACTACGCTGCCAGCTTGAGATGGCGGCGTATCAGACTGCGGTTGTAACTGAGCTTCAGACAAATAACAGCACGTGTGGTTGGGATCCCACAAAATCTGATAAATCAGCATGAGGTCCCCACGCAGTCTACGGCATCGTCCGTTGAAGACCCCGAGCGCTCTAACTCTTTGTTCATACGGCAAATGGTATATGCCTTTGACGTTCTCGGATGCTAGGCGTTGAATTATTTCCAAAGCGGTGAGATCTCTCCTCAGCCATGACTGCCAGACCTGTATTGCATATTCCCCGTGTGTATGAGTCAAGAAGCTACCGAAAAAGCGATAAGAAGAAATGTCCGAATGCATACAGCAGGAATCGCACTTTTTGAATGCCCGTTGTAGATGCCTTTTCAGCCTGAAGCGAAAGACCAACGTCGGCTTGGAATACACGGCAAGATTCTTTTTAGTGGAAGATATTTAAAGCACCTGGTGTCGTAAATGTAATAATCTACATTTTTCCACATTGAACGGAAGTAGATTTCGGATGGGCTTGAAGCAGTGTAGTATCAACTGATGCATTGGTCACTTTCCACACCTTAATGTCATCGCCAAAGGGCAGACAGTTCGAAATAAAATAAGTGCGTTATATCGTATATAAGATCAAGAACAATCGTGGTCCCAGTACCGATCACCGTGGCACTCCGCATTCGATTTGCATGGGATCTGAGTTGTGACGCAGTCGACGTGCGAGTATCCAAATGAAAAACATAGTCGAGGACTGAGCATTAGCGTCGTCAAGTCAAATCGCATTGCGACCATCAGTCAGAGAAGCATGTGTCACAAGGGGATGCGTTGTTTTCATCTCGAGGAACCAGTTACTACTGGTTGGTTTGGTAGATGCATGAGTCCCATTTGATATGGAGTACAGGATTGGGTTTCAAGGAAGAAAAGTGGCTGGCCGATCTGTGCAAGAATACTAAAATGACAGTTCACAAATAGTCTCTTAGCTACTCTTAACGTTAGTAATCATTACCCAACAGATAAGAGAGCTAAAAATGATGACAAAAATCAGCATTACGACTGTTTCTAATTTAGGATAGCTGGTGCTGGTCACACTACCTTCGTTGTCGTTCCATCCTAATTGTAAAATAGTTTGGTGTTAGAAGGAACACCCTACCGCTTACAGAGCGAGAAAACAAGAAAACACACACGTTAGATCCCAGTCACTCAGTGGACGAGAGATAGTAAACAGTGAAGCCAGAAAAAGGAATACAAGCTTCCTTTTGACCATAACTATAACAGTGATGGGTTCTCGGACGAGATTCTGTCGTTTATAGCCAATCCGTTGGTAGAATACAATCCCATCAAATATACACTATCCTATGGATGGTGACCTACAGAGCTCCAGAGTTGCGCGTCCTTGTGACTATGAACAGCTACAAAACGCCTGCACCCAAGGTGGCACTATTTTGAGTGGCTTGCGCTGCATCACCAGGAGCTTCGCGCCACACACACACACCCAGTCTAAAGTCGAAGAAATAGCACCAGGATCCGAGATCCAATCCTGTAGCACACTTGAGTGAGACCACTAGCGCTATGTGAGCTACAGACGAAGCAAGTAAGTAGATAAATAAAATATGTTTGACCAACCTGAAATGCAGTTAAAAGCATTAAATTTGACGTGAATACCTTAAATCCACAATGAAATTATCCGTTTGGTTGGTAATAGTACAAAAGCTACCAATCATCAGCCGCTCCATCATCAAAGAGCACTAGACCAAATTTCAGTCGTGACTAGATGGTTCTCCCTGCGGTATTCACGAAAGGATGAGGTCAGTAGGTACGGATTCAGCACTAGCATATTAGTTGCGCGCATTGTTAGTAAGGCTGCAGGTGACTATCAAAGCTATCAGACTGGAATTCAAGGTGCAGTATTCATGGATGCAGACAAAGAGATCCGTCAGGGTGATGAATCAAACGTAACTCAGATCAGAAAAACATCACCATTATCCTTTCAACGGAAGATGACCCAGAGTAAGTGGTGATGAGGTCATCATCATGTGTGTGTGTGTCTGCATCAGGTCCGCACTGGAAACAGAAACGTCACTACCTCGTTTTCCGCAATCAGCGGCTTGGCTTGTCGCGTCAGCTGGGTCGAATATCCCGAGTGGGTGGCCTTCGTGTTGATGACAGTGAGTGCATATCGATTGAGCTTCTCTTCCCAGAAACTGCCCAGATAGGACTAGTAAAATGGTCCTGTTTGTCCGTAAAGAATAGCTGAGCGATGACCTCCCATGGCGCGTTTGCTGCTTTCTCCCAGGATAAAGCAGGTGTGCAGTCTGGCTGCGGACCTATTACATTCACCAGTGAGTTTTCTGTAGATGTTTCCATCTGCCTCGGCGCATGTTCGACTTTAAGTAGTATGCTGGTTTGAGTTGCAAAATTCAACAATTCGTACGTCCTTCCCGCTAAAGGAGGAGCTACAATACTCCAGATATAGCGTTTGTACCGACCGTTTGTGTGGCGGTTTCTCCAACCTGGCGCAGCAGAATCTAGACCAACGGCGTCCGCACTGCAAACGGCTCCGAAGGTCTTCCACAATGCTGCACTATCACGTAATGAGCGTGCGAAACACCAGTACCCATTGGACTCCCAATAACTTAGCACCAAATACCTACGAACGTCGGTCCGCGGCCGAAAAATCAAGGCGTGTGCCTTGCAATCCGGAGGATGCGGATACGAACATGCGTAGTCAGTCAGTCATCAACAATACATCGTAACAATGTACCAACGCTTCGCTGCCATGAGACCGCCACCGGTCGCGTGTGGATTAAGTAGACTGCGAGGACACCCGCCCCTAGGCGGATTCGAACCAGTGACCTAAGGACTGCAAGCCAGGCGCGCAACCCTTTCGGCCACCGGTCTGCGTAGGGGACCGGAGGACCCATGGCAAAACGCAATAGTATTACCTTAGCATTATGTAGCAAGGGGTGGTGTTTCAACTGACAACTATACAGTCCACTAGCGAATCGGAATTGCAGTTGATTGAGGAATGGTTTAATTTGATTTTAAGCATAGCTCGCAGGGTTTCTCTGACACGAATAACAATGGTTCGACATCGCTCATGGCTAGAAATTGAGAGCATTGATCCAACTAATGTGTCTGCGTACACCCCAAAGGAGTGGGCAGACGTCTTTGAAGCTGCCACGTTCCCTCTCTTATCGCTAAAGTGTTTCAGGACTACCTTGAACTTTGAGACGGCTCTGTCTCTGAAGAGTGACTTGGCGCCCGCCAGTCTCGGGCCAGCCATGGACGCAAATCGACCACATCGCGATTAGTTACCGCTGGAGAGGCTGTGTCCAAAGCGGTTGCTCAATTTGGAACACCAGCGTGAACTCCGATCACGCTCTCATGTGTGCCGACCCGCGGATGCGTTTCGGCGGACGTCCGCAACGTCGCTCTGAGCGCATTGACACCAGCCAGCTGTCGAAGCCAGGTGTTCGGAA